TCCACATCTCTTCCTTCATAGTGCCCATCTACATTAAGATCCACAATTCTGAGATTAAAGTCAGAATTCTGAGATTAACGTCGGAATTCTGAGATTAACGTCAGAATTCTGAGATTAAAGTCGGAATTCTGAGAAAAAAGTCAGAATTCTGAGAAGAAATTCAGAATTCTGAGATTAAAGTCGGAATTCTGAGAAAAAAGTCAGAATTCTGAGAAAAAGTCAGAATTCTGAGATTAAAAGTCGGAAGTCTGAGATTAAAAGTCGGAATTCTGAGATTAAAAGTCGGAATTCTGAGATTAAAGTCGGAATTCTGAGATTAAAGTCAGAATTATGAGATTAATGTCGGAATTATGAGATTAATGTCAGAATTCTGAGATTAAAAATCAGAATTCTGAGATTAAAAGTCGGAATTCTGAGATTAAAAATCGGAATTCTGAGATTAAAGTCAGAATTCTGAGATTAAAGTCGGAATTCTGAGATTAAAAGTTGGAATTCTGAGATTAAAAGTTGGAATTCTGAGATTAAAAGTCAGAATTCTGAGATTAAAGTCGGAATTCTGAGATTAAAAGTCGGAATTCTGAGATTAAAAGTCGGAATTCTGAGATTAAAGGTCGGAATTCTGAGATTAAAGGTCGGAATTCTGAGATTAAAGGTCGGAATTCTGAGATTAAAGGTCGGAATTCTGAGATCAAAGGTCGGAATTCTGAGATTAAAAGTCGGAATTCTGAGAAAAAAGTTAGAATTCTGACTTTTTTTCCCATACTATACTGAAATAAATTTAAAAATGATTTAACTTTTTTTTTTTTTTCAGTGGCCCTAATCCTCTTCCGTATAATCTGGATGAACTGACTGCACAGACCATGTTTTCAGGAGGACTTTCTCACTTCAACATAGATTCAAACTACTTTCTACCCGCTGATCACAGCTAATATAGCAAAGCTGCTCTCTGGCATCGAACACAGGAGCAGCAGAAGCATCAGACGCATCTGGACAAACTTTACTGGACGGCTGACCTTAATGAGAATCAGAAATGAAGCAGCAGAAGCTTCTTTGCTGCTGAAGTCGTGTTTGATGTGAACGTAGCATCAGGAGTCCAGTTTAGCGTCCAGTTTATCGTCCAGTTTAGCGTCGGGTCCTTTTGTTTTCAGTTTGTTTTCTATCTGAACCCATGTGATCGGTTTTGCACTCAGAGTTTAACAGACAGAACTCTTTCTGTATCTAAAGGTTCAAACTAACCCCGCCCCCCCATGTCTCTTAGTGTCGGCCATGTTGGAGAGCGAGAGCATCCCCAGCCTGGCAGGAGTGAAGCCCATGGGCTACCGGAACCGCTCGTCCAGCATGGACACGGACGCGGACGGGCCGACCACCTACACCCTGCAGGGTCTGATCCGGCAGCTCAGCCAGTTCAACAGCATCATGAGGGACCAGGGTCTGGACCCGGAGATCGTGGGCCAGGTGTTCCGGCAGCTCTTCCACTGCATCAACGCCGTCACGCTCAACAACCTGCTGCTGCGCAAAGACGTCTGCTCCTGGAGCGCCGGCATGCAGCTCAGGTACCGGACCGGAGCCGCTCTGTAGCTCTGACCCGTCTGGATCCTTTAGAAGCAGAACCTGTTCATGATGAGACATTCACAGAGCTCCCAGGGTTTAGGTTGGATGGACAAACCCTGGAGGTTCTGGTCCAACTGGTGGAACACTGACTGCGTCTGACTGCTGCCCCCTGTCTGTGTGCGCAGGTATAACACCAGTCAGCTGGAGGAGTGGCTGCGAGCGAACAACCTGTTCCAGAGCAAAGCTTCTGCCACGCTGGAGCCCATCATCCAGGCGGCTCAGCTGCTGCAGGTCAAGAAGAAGACTTCCCAGGACGCTGAGGCCATCTGCTCGCTGTGCACCGCGCTCACCGTGCAACAGGTCAGTACGCATCACAACGTGCAGAGCTGCTGGAAGTACTGTAGAAACTGGACAGAAGACCCATGAGCCTATA